CCCCCCCACCTCCCCTACCGAAAGAAAATCCCAACCACATCAATAAAATAAAAAAGGGGGGGGGAGTGGCCACGAAAAACACATTTATTATACTTGCTTATTTGTATTTTTGTACACACAGGGCTTGGATGTTAATTCTTAGATCTTACATATGACTCTATTTCAGCTACAAATAATCTTGTATCTCAGGTGAACTTAAATTTTTTTTATCCAAGGTCTCCACTTCTCTTCAAACAGCATGTACCTTTTATAAAAGCTCCTCTACATGCATTGTGTTATTTAATTCACTTACCCATTCCCAGGTCTGAGGAAGATTTTATGACCTCCAGTACCGAGGGATTATAGGCCTCGCTGCTTCCAGTATGGGACATACTAGCCCCCTTTTCAGTCCTGTCACCGAACCAGGGAGCAATAGAAAAAGTGCCATCTCTGGGGTTTCTGATAAACGTGACCCCGTCAGGTGACTCCCAGCCTCGAGAACTGTTCTCCAATACGGTCTTAGTAACTGACATGACCACCATATATGCAACATTGTTCCCTCTTCTACTCCACACCTCCAGCACATCTAGATACTTGTGGGTTTATTTTGGGCATTACTGTTGGACATCTGTACCATTTTGTTAATATTTAATAATTTCTCTCCTGAATTTTAACCGCCATGCTCGATTTGAAAGTTAGATGGAAAACCTTGTTCCATTCCTCTTCTGCTACCTGGTATCCCAGTTCCCAAATATAGTTAGGGGTGGACAGATACATCTGTGATATTAATGTTATATATTCTAGAAACCAGATGTCTACTCCCGACTTTGTTCATACAAACATCCTCAATTGGGGTCAGATCCCTTAAAACAATTCCCCATGTACACAGATATAGTTAAAAGTGTCTAAGTTGTAAGTACTCCAGCCATCTGCTCGTGTTAGGTGTGCCTAACAGGACTAGATCTAATAGAGGGTATACTCCAGAGGCATTGACAGCCTGTATCATGGGGGAGTGCTTTGTATTCTCCCACTACAGGAAACTCCTACTTTCCATGCAATAAGGTAAATCAGGGCTGCCCAGAATAGGTGTTAGTATGATAGTATGATGATATTTCATGACCATTGCGTCCCATACATTCAATACTGATGCAATTAAGGGGGGCTTAATCCAACTATGTGATCGCTTGGTAGGTGATATCCATGGTAACAACGTCAAAGGGACTGGGATCTGATTGCTCAATAGCTACCCACAATTTGGGCTGGTCTGTACTGAACCAATCTAGCATCCTGCTTAATGTCACTGCCTTATAATATACCTCTATGTGTGGTAGTCCCCCCACCCCCATTTAATTTCCTTTTAACTAAAATGTCATATCTCAACCTCGCTCCCATTGAACCCCATATGTACCACAGGAGAAGAGTTTGTAATCTACGTAAAAAAAGTCTCAAGATCTTAATTGGAACCGTCTGAAATCTTGGAAGAATATTCATCTTAAATAATGCCATCTTCCCCATCCATGAATGTTTTTTCATTTTCCAAGCTTCCATTCGTATTTGTGTTGATTCTAAAAGGGTGGCATAATTCAGGCTGTACAATTTCTTTAAATCTGTTGGTATCATAACTCCCAGGTATTTAATAGCTTCTGCAGCCCATTCAAATGGAAAGTTAGATCTCAATATCTCCCATTCTCCCTGCGGGAGTTCTATTTCCAAGCACTGTGATTTACCAGCGTTAATTTTATAGTTGCTTAATCTCCCATATCTCTCTATCTCATCTAGGATTATTAGCAATGCTATTCTTGGATTTGTGATAGATATATATATATATATATATATATATCTATTTGTTTACATTCTGCTACCAACCGCGGAAGCAAAATGTAAACAAAGAATTTTGTTAGCAACTAAATACAATTTTTTCGTGTATTGTGCACCAAGCAATCGGCAATTTTTTAGTGTGCATCAACATACCGGCTAAATAAATAAAAAGGCATGTTATCGCCTTGATTTTTTAAACCGGTTGCCCGAGACTGTGGGTTGTTTGAATGCCAAATAATGGGGAGTTTACTGTATATGCAGATTCAAAAAGTGAATTTCCTTATAACAATATGTTAACGTTAATCCTGAACAATTGTCAAGGAAGGATGGCCCGTCCATGGCGACTTGCTAACCAGAGCGGGTCTTAATTTGGCGGAGGTGGGAGGAGAGCGCTTACTTCGGGCTGATAAAACACTCCTGTGAAACAAATTGTCACAGCACCTAATACCACTGCCTGCCACTGGAGGGCGACTCACCCAAAGCTAGCTTGCTGAACACACACACACACACAAATCTTACATGCAACCGGATGTACTCTAAAAGCAGTGGTTCTCAACCTGGGGGTCGAATGACGATTTGCCAGGGGTCGCCTAGTGGCTTCCGTCCACCCAGGAGAGAAGCGCTTTCTCTGCTCTTTTTTTTCCTGACACTGTTAAAAGTAAACCTGCCGCTCCGTGTGCACAGTGAGAGGGGATAGCAGTCTTCCTCTCTCACCTGTCACAGAAGTTCCAGCACAGTGCTGTGCTAGGACTCCTGTATTGGAGGTGACAGGGTCAATAAAGAGAACCTGTCACCTCCAATTGCTATTACACAGGGGCTTGTTACCTCTTTGTGATAGCAATGAAGTTAAGTGGAAAAAAAAATAGATTAAAACATTATTAAAGAAATAGAAATAAAAGAATTAAAAAAATAAAAAAGCGATTAAAAAGAAATAAGAAACAAATTATTAAAAAATAAGAAAATTATAAACAATAATAAGGTGAGGGTCCTCCTCAGCCATCTCCTAGGGCAGCAGTGTCAGTTCTCCCGCCACGCCGCCAGATGTCGCTGCAGCAGCCGCGTCATCCCGGAATTTTACCGTTGGGGGGTCACCACAACTTGGCAAACGTTACCAAGGGGGTCCCGGCCCTAGAAAGGTTGAGAACCACTGCTCTAAAGGCTGTACAGCAGCTATCAAGCTATCCTACCAACTAGAGTCCTTGGGGTCCATTCACAAAAGGGTGAAGAGTTTGGAGAAGTGAACAATCTAGGCCAAAATAGCTGATTTGGAAAAATTCTCCAATTCGGCTCATTTTCCAGTTCAGCTATTTTGGCCTAGATTGTTCACTTCTCCTGCCTTCTCCAAACTCTTCACCCTTTTGTGAATAGACCCCCTTGTGTTACCACTTTCCCACTGCTCACACACCGACGCACACCAAACATGCAATCTGCCACCACCTGCCGTTTGTCCGCTGACTGGTCTGCTAGGAAACCCTACACACACACACACACACACACACACACAGATCCCCGTCTGGCAGATCAGCTAACTTATACACACTGACACTAATCTGCAATCACACAATGCAATTTTATAGAGATTAACAGTGAGCTTACAAAACGAGCGTAGACACAAGTAACAATGACCAAACTTTCTAGGAGGATGAATTTGTAGTCTAGTACACAGAAGGCCACTTATTCATGTTATAGTTTTTAACCCCTTCGTGACTGACGACGTACAGTGTACGTCGCCAGCATAGGCGGGCAGTGCATAAGAAATATGTACAAAGTAAAAAGAAAGACAATGACATACAAAAAAATAGGAGAAAAATAGAAGAAAAAAAAACTTTACCAAAAAGGGCAGTATTGTTTATCCTGCTGGCAGGAAATCTGTAAACACCTTGTCCTTAGATACATTCTTTGTTGATGATTTCTAAAAGGACATTTGTACCACGAGCTGCCGAAGAGGTCATTCCTGTTCTGCAAGGTTTACATATTGATAACAATATTACACCAAGTCAAAATAATAAACAGAAACATTCATTAAATTGTAGTTTATTCATCTATAATATAAAGTGTATTTATTGAATCCATAAAGAACACCACAGATTTTTATCAAAGCCAAATTATTTACAAATGATACTGAACTTTTACTTAAGTACATGAAATTACAGGGTAGATAAAAGTTATAATAAACTAATGTACAAAGAATAGGGGAAATAAGTTAGTAAACTGAAATTCACACACATTTAAATATTTATACAGGTTGACAAATACATTATGAATATAAAGATTAATAAAAGGTATGTTCACTAAACAGAACAAAAATGTCACATTTGCAAATTTAAAAGTTACCCAAATTCATGTTCTATGTCGAGTATGGACAAATGTATGCAAAATGTAAAATTAATTCACAGAGCTGGAAAAGAGAATCCACAGAATGTCAATTCGCAGGTACACATATATTTTATTTATATAGGGTCTACCTAGTTTTGTATACGGTTCATCAAAACAAAATGTACTGCCTGGCTCTGGTCCATAGAACAGCTACTTATCTGAATCTAAGAACAAACTTTTTAAACACTTTCTTTTCAAGTTATGTGTGCTGCCACAATGGTGCATGGAATGTAACTGTCCATAGCCACAGTCAATATTCACATCAATGTTAAATGAGAATTGTATAGTTTATCTTCCTTAAGCCATTTACTTATGGATATTCTATGGCTATGTTCATATACTGCCATCAAGTGGTTATTTTGGTATTGCACATGTTTTTCTGTGTTCCCTTCCCTCACATCTACCGACAATTCATTCATCTGCTGTTTCCTGTTGTCTGCTATAACCTGATGTACAGAATAAAGTGGATGGAAAAGGTATTTGGTGAGTTCAGCTATCTGAGGATTGTCGGCAGTGATTATGCCTGGCCTGTATAAGCAGATATAGAGGTCTTGGCAAGGGATAAAATCACTATTACAACAATCAAGAGTCAGAATATTATGCTTTAAAATGACAATATTCTTCTATTGGATTACTAAACAGCTAGTTACCGTAGTTGACTGTTGCAAAATATCCTTTACAATGAAAAATATGCTTTACAATGAAATACTAACTAAATATTTGTATTAAAGTGACTAAAATGTGGCTGGTTGTGTTCCTACAGGAAGCTATTGGCAAGTCATTTTTGGGGATACAAACATTATATTTAACTGCATACAAATGATATGTTATTGCGGACTACACTCTGACACTGTTCCAGGCTTTGAAGGCACATGTAGAATAGGAGGCGCTGTACGTCTGGATTTTCTCTCACACTTGCTGAAGTCTTTCTCCTCAGCCTTTGTTGGTTCAATTCTTGATTCTTCAAAGGCTGACCTACAGGTAAACAGTTATGCTAATTTCAAAGTGGTTGTCGAAAAAAATGTTAATTATAGGACAGCATTTTTTTTCTTCTAGATAGCACAAAGTGATTACTACTGTTTGAGCTTTTCTAAAACGTTTTAAACACTAGTGTTGGATAGAGCGGGGAAGGGTTTTGTACTTCGGCCAACTTGTAAATATTATGTGTCCATGTTAAGATTTTTTTGTCATATTTTAAATGCGGTGTTCCCATACAGGAGATTTCTGTTCTCATCCTATTCCATCATCCATTACCTGGACAGAGAGTGATGGTAAAAACTCTCATAAGGAGACAGAATGCAGTAAAAATCCTGTTAAAGCTTTCTAAACCTTCCTCACGGCACTAGAAAACTATGGGGGCAGCGGTCACTGCCTTTGCCGGTCCCGAGGTCCGCTGTGCCCGATGCGGCTGGGACCGGCCCGGCCGCTTCTATGGGAGCAGCTGTCACTGCCGTTGCCGGTCCTGAGGTCCGCTGTGCCCGGTGCGGCTGGAACCAGCACAGCTGCTCTTTGACAAGAGATCAAAGGGAGATCGGTACACGATCTCCCTCTGAGATGGCACATAAGCCTATACTGTTTCTAAGCCATTGCCCTTGTTTCACATATATCTTCCATAAAAAGTACATTTCAACATAATGTAATTATCAGCAAGTACAGATATTTTAGACCATAATATTACAAAGAGAAGGAAAGACAACACAAAGAGCAAATCAGGTGTGCTACACGCACATGTGCAGACAAGGAACGTGCTGGCAGGAGCAAAGAGCAGTATGAGCAGAGGTGTGAGTAGCTGCTGCTCCTTCACAGTCCAATTACTGTTAGGGGCAGGGAGTTGATAAAAAAAAAAAAAAAAAGGTTTAGGTTACAAAAAAGATACTAACAAGCTTGGTTGTGTGTTTGGCAGGGCTGTGCAGAAATACAAATCCTTCGGCATGTACAAGAGGCTTCTATATACAGTTTGTATTTCATCTACATATATTCCTCCCCGCACCCCACTCCCTCTTCCCCACACACACGAAAAAAACTGCTATTGTATACAATGTGTACCCCTGCTATATGGTAAAAAAAAAAAAAAGTAGTTGTAGGCACCACGGCTTGGGCCTTTCTGAATGGTAAGGCTTCAGATCTCCCATAGTGTTGATACTTGCCTGCCCCCGCTATCATGGTGTGATAGGCCAATTAGAATGAGTGGAAGGCAGGCATTAGCCAAGAACTAACACCACCAAAAATGTCAGAGGTTTAGCAGTTCAGAATGGCTCTGGATTAGACTACAGCACTGGGGACATGGAGGCTTTTACAGGCATGTGAAATTATATTATACAGTCCCCTATTTGTCACACTTAACACCTCATGGTCAGAGCAAATTATGCATTCCTCATATACAGTGTCCATAATATATTTTTTCGGAGAACACAGTTTCCCAATAACAGCATGAGTAATGAGTTACCTCATTAGGAAGCGGGAGCCAAGAGATCTGGACAAGTGGCTGAGAAACTGGTGTAAAAAGGAGGGGTTTGAGTTCTAGAACTGGGCTGACTTTTGAGTAGGCTGCCGGGTCTACAGCAGGGAAGGACTAAATAGGGAGAGTGCAGCCCTCTGGGGTGAGAAAATGGCATGGTTAGAGAACCTTTTAAACCAGAATCTGAGGGGAGAGATGAAATATGAGTATGCTAGGAAATAAGCTGAGAGCAAAAAAACTGCATAGTATAGTTGAGGGGGAAATAGGGGTAAGAGTGGGGATCCCAACTGATAACAGGGAAACTATATCAGAATCCAATGCAGGAGGTTTTGATGTAACTAATAGCAGCCTGATTGTGAGCAACAAGCAAAGCCTAAGCACTTTTACTACTCAAAGAAGAGTATGATCTTGTGAGAATATCAAAAACTTATCTGGATGGCTCACATGACTGGGCTGCACATATCAGGGGATATTCATTATTTCTAAAGGATAAGGAAGAGCATGGCTGTATATCCGTAACAATCGGGAAGTGTATGCGCGTGAAGACATAGCTTATGAGATGGGGGACAGAGCTGAATCCTTATGGATAGAGTTTAAAACAAATGTTAAATTCATGGTGGGAATATGCTACAGGGCCCTGAACATAAGGGAGGAGGAGATTCAACTATTCTCACAGATAGAAATAGGAGGGTGTCGAGGAAATGTCATAATTATAACTATCCTGACACTAATTGGGCAAATGAAACCGCACAGTCAAGTAAGGCCCTTCACTTCTTGAATATACACACAGTGGCGTAGTGGTTAGTGCTTCTGCTTTGCAGCACTGGGGGTCCCTGGTTAGCATACCGGCCAAGCTTGCATGTTCTCCCTGTGCTTGTGTGGGTTTCCTCCCACACTCCAAAGACATGCTGGAAAGTTAATTGGCTCCTTCCTCAAATTGGTCTTCGTATGTATGCATGCGAGATAGGGACCTTAGATTGTAAGCTCCTTGAGGGCAGGGACTGATGTGAATGTGCAACTATGTAAAGCACTGTGTAAATTGTCAGCGATATATAAATACCTGTAATAAATAAATATACTCAGAGATAAATGGTATGGGACAAAAATGGTGGAAACCCGAAGAAGTAGGAATTAGGGATAACCTGGGGAATAGTGATCATTATAACGTTCATGATCAACTTTAGGAAACAGACAAGTTGGTGAGACAAGAACAGAGTATTAAAAAGGCCAACTTTAATAAGCTGTGAAATGTGCTACACTAATTGGGATCAAATCTTCCTGAATATCAACAATAAGTACATGTGGGAATATTTCACGCAAATTTAAAACAGCAAAATTACCAGTGCATTTCTATTTACCAACAAATCCATAACAGCAAACGTTAAACCAGAGTTGTTAACTAGCGAAGTAAAGCAATATATAAAAAAGGAAATGGCCTTTAAAAAATATAAAAACAGAGGGGTCACCATCCGTGTTCTAATACTACAAGGAATGCAACAAAAAAAATGCAAAAGGGCAACAAAAATAGAGTACGAAGAACACATAGCAACAGAAAGCAAAAAAATTATTTAAAAGACAACTATGTTAGGTTCACAGGAAGACGTATACTAATTTCCTCCAGTAGCCCAAAATTCAGCATATAGTGGGCTATTGTCCGCCGTCTACGGCAGCAATGAGCCGCACTGCAGCCAGGACGGATCTCGACAATATTGTCGGGATCCACTTTGCTGCCTGATTGGCAGCTGGCTCTGCCCCCCTCAGTCACCGCTCTCTGCAGGTGATTAAAAGAATTATGGAGAGAGTGTAATACACTAAATATATAATTAGTAAAAAGGGTAAGGACAGAACATGTAGGCCCCATAAAGTGCATAAATAGTAAGTTAGTTACCAGTGATAGTGAAAAAGCTGATGTGTTAAACACATTTTTTTGCTTCTGACTTTACAGAAGAGCCTGACGGGGTCAATAAACAAGGCATCAATTTAAGTAACACAAAATTCAACTAGAATGTCTATCATGTCAGTCTAGAAAGATTCAATATAAACAAATCTCCAGGACCGGATTTGTTACATCCACGGGTGCCCACAGAACATAGCGACACCTCTGTTCCTAATCATTATGGACACTTTAATGTCAGGTATGGTACCGGCTGATTGGTGGAAAGCAATTGTGGTACCACAATTAAACAGGAATAACTTCACTGGTATAGCTCTTTACACAAGCAGGGTAGCTGGTTAGAACACATAGCACCAGCCACTTCCAGAGGTGGTGTTTAGTTAACCCTCTGAATCAGAAACACCCAGCACCATTTCAGGTCGTACTGAAGTTCTGGCATAGATTCTGTTGCTACTACTAAAAATACTGGCCTGGATTCTGTGAGTGCCTTTAGAAGTACTGGCAGAACTCTTGTGAGTACCATTAGAGGTACTGGTGGGTCTTCTGGAAGTCCTAGACAGGTTTCTCCAAGTAGTTCTGTAAATCCCAGCACAACATATTCCAAGCAACGATTTGGTTCCAATGCTGAAAGTGTAGTAGGGCTAGTGGAGTGACAGGCATCTTGGTAAACACCTGTGGTACAGAAAAAAGGGCTCAAATGGCAGGGCCAATCAACGTAGGTGATATCGACCCACAGCAAAGCAAAGCGACTGCTGATGTGAGGAAAAAAATGGGGATGATCCTTGATGTCAACAAAAACCATAAAATGTCCCCGATGGTAAAAGGCTAAGACCTGGGGGGTTCGGGTCATGAGGTCCAAGATGGGGTGGATGTCCCCTTTTTGGGTGGGATGCGTGGAGGACTGCTTACTTGTGTAGAGACAGAAGTAGACTGAATGCATAAACGGAGAAGGCAGAATACTAGCTTGTAGCCCCTGTAAATCACTTCTTGCACCAAAGATGCTGGTTGCCCACATGTCTGCAAAAACTAGTAAACAACACTCAACTCTAAAGAGCAGGGGCGCTGCCTCATGCTGAAAAGGAATGATCTAAGGGCTTGGAAAACTTGAAATGTCCTGGGCTTGGGAGAAGGAGGCCTGGCAGTAACACAAGAACACTTCTTAGGTGGTTAAATGGGTACTTTTATCACCAGAGACACCCATTATGGGGTGTCTAGGGCAACCCCTAAGAGGAGATGCTGTCTCTCGGGGGGTATTCTGCAAGCTGGTTCCGTAACCCAATAGATCTCCTCCAATAGATCTCCTCAGGTCCACTGAAAAGGGACTCTACGTTCCTTAAAACAGGTGCATCATCTGGAGAGGTCTAAATCTTGTAAAGGTAAAAACCTGCAGTTTGGGAACAAAATACAGCCAATGGTTAAAGAATATCTCCAAATGGCGCAAGGCTGCTATACTTTTGGGAGGAGAGAAATGTCGGGGTTATTCCAATTTCCAACAAGGAGAAATATAGTGTCCGCGGACATAGGGGTCATATCTTGGGGTTCAATAAAAAGGAAAGACTTCCTTTTTATTGAACCCCAAACTGGAATCTGGTATATCTCAGGAATGGGTAGAGATGTGGCATA